TTCGAACAATAAATATGCTATTGGGATTCGCAACAATAGCCCAGAAAAAGCCATGCTGATGTAGTGAGAAAACAATATTAAATATTGCGTGATGTTGTTAAACACGCCAATTAAAAATTAAAAGCAGAAAACAATTTACCTTATGCATTTAACTGCCATTAGTGGATGTCGGAAAAAATTTCTTTCTTATTCTTTTATTTTTTTATATTGTTTCACGTGAGTCTCAGATCTTCTTTATTATATTTTTTTTTGACAATAGAAATTTTCTACATTTGAATAAAAATGAAAGTCTTATGGCGAAAAAAAAATGGATGTACATTGTATGATGTGATCTACGAGGTAGATAAGATAGATCTTTTGCAATGTCCATTTAACTTTTTCTTAGAAATACAAAAGATGATCAGTTGAAATGTCAGCAATGACTTTTGTCATTTTTATTTGCTTTTGTTTCGGTCTGTTTTTGATGATCAAAAGGCATTTCTCTTCTGAATTTGAATGAGCGCGTGCTTGCGATGGTTTTTAAAATTTTCTTGAAAAGTCGTGAAGTTTGAGTTTAAAGGGTTTGACTTTTTCTTGTTTTTTGTGATGGAATTGATTCTTTGACATTGCTTTAAAGTTTTTGATTAATACTTCACAGACATTAATACTCCAGAGTTATGATGAAACCACACTATTTTATTGACAGACATAAAGCAGTGCAACTTAAGCTTTACTCTTAGTATCCGCTAAATGAGGAGAAAGAGGAGTTCTCAAATAACTACAAATTTATGAATTTTGTCAACACCAAATTTAAAGTCCATCACTTAAGTAGGGAAGCATTTATTAACACTCAAAATAAAAAAATTGAAAAAAATTCGATTGACGTCATAACCGACTAGTGCCATTCGGAAAACATAAATTTCAACACTACACCCAACAATTCATGACAAATAACAGTCTATGAGCTTCTAAGCATTAATTTGTAAATGATACATAAACAAGATCCCATAGCTAGTTACAATATTGATGTTCATAATTTGGTCCTTCTTACAAATAATTTGTAATATTAATTATCATATTTTCATCACTTTATGTTTCATAGATTCTTTTAGACTTCATGTTGTTGATGTTTATTTTGGGATAATTAATTTGGTGGAATGAAAATGAGAAGAATGTTTTGAATAGCGGTCGTTATGTTTTAATTACAAAGAACCAAAAATCTGGTTTGCAAATTAAAAACCAGCTTAAAATCATAATAAAAAAGACATAATCCAGTTTAGAAGGTTTGCAATAAGGGGTCGTTCACTTATGACGTCCGATATTAACGGTCATTTTTCAAAAAAGAACAATGAAATTCCACGAGTGTCTATTCTTCTTTTCTTGTTGACCCCCCCCCCCCCCCCCCATCACCCTTGGACGTCGTAAATGAACGGCTCCTAAAAGTAATATAGATCTCCGCTCATTAGATTGCCCCAGTCCATACTAGGTTTTGAGGGCCGTTCACTTATTAAGTAACGCGAAAACATGACTTCTTAAACCCTCCCCCCCTCCCCCACTCGTAATAAAATTTGTATGAAAAAATATGTCTTTTGTTTGAACCGTAACAAAATCTTAGAGCCTCCTCCCCCCTTAAAGCGTTACGTAATAAGTGAACGGCCCCTTGAGTTTAAGGTCAAAATTTGAGATTTCCTTAGTTTTTAAAACTAATGTTAAAGTTCCGTTTAGAGACTGGTTTATAAGGGTACCCTTCCCAAATTACAATCAAGCTTTGACTATATCCCAACCCATCCCAACATATAATCAAGAATAAAAATGCATAGATTTTGAATTCAATGATTGTCATAGAAACATGCCTCTGAGTTCCAAATTGACATGAATCTTGTAAAAAGTTCAGTATCTACTCAACCTTTGTAAACAAAATCCCGTCAAATTTAAACCGACAAGCTCTAGTCTCGACCTTGATAATGATTGTCCTTACAAAATCATAAACAACCCTTAATATTAATGATGAAAATAAGTTACGAAACTCTTTTGAGTATTACAAAATCTTGAAATACAATATCACCATAGCTATAAATTTTAATTATTTCTCATAATTTGTAATTTAAATCCCCGAAAAAGAAAAATTTCTTATCCAAAAAAAAGACAATAAAACACGTGCGAAAAATAAGCTCAATTCTCATATTGTATAACAACAGACAGAAGAAAAAGATCAAAAAAAGATATAGACGGTAGCAATAAAAAAATCATTATTTCTCTTCTTATTAATGCAGACATAATACGGAAGTAACTATGCTCAAAAAAAATAATATTTTAATAAATTTCTTTCTTTTCATCTTCTTCTGTTATTGCTCAACCATAAATTAACTTTCATTTTCGCCAGATATTATTTTTTTTTACTTATTCATCATCTCAAACGCGTGCTCAATTGAATGATGGAGATCCGAAGAAAAATATTCAATTATTTTCGAGATGTTACATCGCAGAAAGTATTTCCGTTTATACATTAATAATTTTTTTTTTGCTAATTGGCTAATCGTCGGGCTTTATGATTGTGCTTTTATGCTGTTTATGGTCAAAGAAAATATAATTTGCGGAACAACAAGTGCCTCGTTTTTTTTTGTGTGTGCGAAATTAATGATGTTTTTATTAAAAATGAATAACAGCACGTGGTATTTATCATGTTTTGATGTAATAAGGCTGTTAAGAATTTGAATTTGGACAATAATCTTTGCTAAATGTTTTGAATCTTCAGCCTTGCCAAGAACGTCCTATAATGTCTCTGGATTAGACAGAACGAAATTGAAGCTTCAGCAAGCTTGTTATTTTTGCTTGTCACAGGCAGTCACCTATCACAGATTTGTCAAATCTATTGACAGGTATGACACCGTAAGACAGATCTGTAACAGGTAAAGGACCATTCATTTATGACGTCCAGGGAGGGGGGGGGGGGGGGTAGGTCAGCAAAGACAATAGAAATTTCTGGAAAGCATTTTGTTCTTTTTTGAAAAATGAACGTTAACTTTGAACCTTAAATGAATGAACGACCCCTTTGAGTGTCAAAAAATCCGCCTGTCACAGGCAATTTATGCGACAGATCTGTCATTTGTGTCTGTTGTCTCGCAACTCTTGCTACAAATAATGTTTTTACGACTGGCATTCCATTTAAAGCCTTATTAATTTGCTATTTTAAAACCACACAGCTTTTTGTTGCATGCTCTGTACATTAAATCATTTATTCCTTAATTATTCATTAGTCATTGTAAATTAAGTACTAATTTAATTATTTTAAAATTTCTATATCCTTAGATTAATCCTTAGGTTTAAATTTTTTGTAGGGTTCAGGATGATGGAAGATCTGTTAAGTCACTCTTGCTAAACCTTTATTTTTTTTTGTATTATTCGTAGTTCGTTTCTTTAATAATATCCAAATCCGTTGAGACGGAAAGAATGGAAAGTGAAAAGGAAAAAAAGGGAAGTGGAAATTCGGGTTCATTTTTAATTAAAATCCATTTGTATCAAATTTCATTTTATTTCTGCACAAAAATTATTTTTTTGATAGTCAAACAGCAACGAGCGTATCCGTGGGTACCAAAAAAAGTTTAATTTTTTGGACAGTTTGATTTTTATTAACTCATAAATATCATAATGTCACCTCCATTTCTCTTATGTATTTTTTTAATAAACAAATTACCAAAAAAATGTCATCGAGGGTCATCATGTCCTGACAAAATGTGGCATTCCATTTATTTTCAATAATAAATTGCACCTGCGAGGTCAATTTATTTTAAAATGAATAATTTTCAGCATCAGCCATTGTGAAACTCCTCCATAAATCACCAACTAATCTTACAGTACTTTCATTATTGGCTTGACATACAAACGGGAAATTAATTGAAGGTCAAGAAATTGATAACGTTGAACTTTATCTGATGAAGGGCAAAAAATATTTTCATTTCAGATTTTTTTTTTCCTTTTCCCTTTAACCATTTCTTCCTGAGTTGTGCATGAAGTGTTCGTTTTAAATTGTGACAATTTTATTGAATTTTATTTGAAATGTTTCGTATTGCTTGGATGCTGTGAAATGGTCTAGTTTGGTTCAATTCGGTTTTTATAGGTTCTTATAAGTTCTATAGGTTCAATTAAGTTCAATAAGTTCTATTACGATCTATTAAACTGTCAAGGAATTTAATATTTGATAAATTTTCTATGAATTTGTGTTTAAATCTTAACAAAAAAAGAAGATTAAGTTGAATATTGATTTTATTCTTTTAAGAAGATTTTTTTACTCAAAATTGAAGAATTTTGTATTCAAAGACACACTTAAAAACTTATACCGGAACCACAATAGAATATATAATAGCCAGAACATTTTCAAAGCATTCAAGCAATTTATTTGTGACTTAATTGATGAATAAAATTGCTCAACATATGCTTTTAAACCAAGGAACACCAAATAAAAAAGCACTACTGGAAAAAACTATTGGCTACACTACTGTATTGAACTCAGGCGCGTAGCAAGGGGGAAATTTGAGGGACAAATCCCCCAACGTAAACAGAAATTTCTTTATTTTGCTAGTGTTTTTAAGAAAAAATCACAAAAATTCCCCCCCCCCCCCCCCCCCCTCCTTCAATTTTTCCATGAAAAAAAATTTTGTCTCCCCTTCTTTAAATTCTTGGCTACGCCCCTGATTAAACTTAATAAGAAAAACACCAGCACACCAATTTCGAGTATGAATTCATCCTCCTTGATTCAGCTTTATCCAATCTTAATTTCTTCTAGTGATATTCATTTATTTTCAAGGATTTCAAAAGAAATTTTTTTTTAAAAAATCCCCAAAAATATTGTAAACAAATCCCTTAAGTTTCAAAATCATCAGCATATCAATAAGCACAATCATCATCAATTACGTCATAATCCTTTTACAAAATATATAAAAAAAAAAATATTTTTCTCACGTTTCATTGAATTTCATGAATTTTCTTCTTCTTTTCCTTTCTACATGCTCATCTCCTTACAGGCTGCGGTATATCACTAGCAAAGCAAGTTGCTCAACGACGCATTGTAGGTGGTGATGACGCAGGCTTCGGTAATTTTCCATGGCAAGCATACATTCGAATAGGATCATCGAGGTATGAAGTTATTCCTATTATAATTTTATGGAAATTTTTTTTTCTACACTCAAAAAAGATGTGCTCTAAATAATTTGTGATTTTGAATTCTCTAAAGAATTATATTTACAGTTCCAATTATTATTTTCATAATGCTTTGGAAAAGAACAAAGTATGAATTTGTATATTAAGTAAATATTGTCATAAAATTATAATGAGATCAAATTATTTTTGTGTACATAAGAACATTTACATAATCTCAACCTTGATAATATAACATGATGAATATATGAGAGACAAAATTTATGCATACAGGAGGAACTACATACATTCTATTTACTAATTTTTGACTAACTTTTCTAGCATGAAATGTGATTTAATTAACATTTTTTTATAATATTTTTTGGCAATTTTAAATTTTTCTTGTTCATAAATCTAATTAAAAGATTCTACTAATTTCCATAAATTGCAAAACTTTCAGTAATTAAAGATAGGTGATGTAATTAAGTTCAATGACAACCTTTTTTCTGGAAATGTCAAAACTTCTATATCTAAAGCTATAGAATTAGAACATTGATGCTGATTGAACTTTAGTCTAGGGAATTTTAATTGAATTTTATTTGCGTTGGTTGAATTTCAACAAGAAAGATTTCCGTTGTTTTTCAGAAATTTGATTTTCCCGCTTTTTTTCTGGAGTTTGACTTTTTGTTCGAAACAATTTCGAAATTTGAAATTTATAATTTCGAGCTATTTAATGCATTTTGAAGCACTTTTAGGCTTTTAAAAGAATAAATTGACATCCATAATTATGTTAAAATTATCAACAAAGTTCAAAAATATGCATTTAATCTGAAATTAATGAGTTCAAATTTCAAATAAAAATGTAAACAAATTATTTTCGAAAATAAGTCTCACGCTTTCGAAAAGTGAGTTACCAAATATCGAAACTAATGATCCGTTGTCGTATTTTAAGTTGAACTTAAGTTGAAATTTTTGCATTTTGGGCTTGACTGATACGAACAATTCAAGAGTTTCGACCGTTACAGTTTCCAAGAACACTTGTAAAAATTTCTTTTTTGTTGGTCTGCCATGCAAAATTCGAAGATTCATACCTTTCAGTTCGAAATTTTCGAAACAATCAAAATCTTGAAAAAAATGACCAAAACTTGTAACGGTTTTTCAAATTTAAATTTTTCGAACGTGCATATTAAAACACCGCTAGACTTTTGATAAGTCTGTCAAACATGAATTGAACGTATCAGGGGCTTGACATTTGAAAATAATTCATTTAAGTTTGTGTTTAACAATTGAGCAGTAAAAAAATCGATTTTGCTGTAATGTGCTTCTACTTGGTTAAATACAATATAATGAATCTTAAAATAATATCCTAACATAAAACTAATCATTACTAATGACTTTATTCCAGACTAACAGTAAATTACTTTAATTCTTTCTTTTTTCCTTTCTTTAACCAAATTTTTCATCTTTTTCTATCCAAAAACTTTACTAAAAACAATTTCGATGGTCAAAAAAATCTTTTATTTATTTTTGTGGGTACATGTTCTTTATATTTACATATTTATACTCATTACTACCATATTATTATTATCTCATCTGTGGTACGCAATCCCATCAACATCCTCAAACATAAATCCTCAAAAAAAAAATTAATAATTATTAATCAATTAAATAACAAAACTAATCGAATAATAATTTTTAACATAAAATTTCATCCTCATGCGCCTCTACGTCATCCTCGTCCTTATTAACAAAATATAAAAAAATTATCCATCATCCTAATTACCACATCATCATTATCATCACCATGCTTACCATCACTACCTCCCCCCCCAAAACCTGTCTCTTTGTATCTCATGCACTTAGATCGATGCTTTCCAGGTGCGGAGGATCTTTAGTCAGTCGACGACATGTTGTGACAGGTATTTTTAATGGATCTTGATCATTATTTTGATGTTTTTGAATTATTTTGGTTGGGAATTTGCGTAGTTTGGGGTTGTGGATGCTGAATTACGGCAATTTCCTAGCTGAAATTTTGTGGGAATTTTTTGGGATATGAATGATAACATAAAAGCTATAAAGAAGAATTTTTGGACCTATAAGCTAGTCCATCCCCAAAAAACTCTCACAAAATTTTTTCCCTACAATTAAAATCCGATAAAAATTACAAATCCAAAAACTTTCAATCTCAAATGACCGAAAAAACATTCAGCTGGTCATTGTGTAGCTCGTGCGATTCCACGTCAAGTTCATGTGACATTGGGTGAGTAGCCATAAAGCTAAAGATAAATTTTCATTACTTAAAATTAATTTCCATTCACATCCAGGCGATTATGTAATAAATTCAGCGGTCGAGCCACTGCCTGCTTACACATTTGGCGTGCGTCAAATAAATGTGCATCCATATTTCAAATTTACTCCGCAAGCGGATCGTTTTGATGTTGCGGTGCTGACGCTTGAACGGCCTGTTCATTACATGCCGCATATTGGTACGGATTTATGGCAGTTTTTAATGGACTTGATGCTCATGATATTTTTATTTTTAGCACCAATTTGCCTACCTGATAAGAATGAAGAATTCTTGGGCAAATATGGATGGGCTGCTGGATGGGGAGCACTAAGTCCAGGTTCAAGACTGAGACCAAAGACATTGCAAGCTGTTGATGTGCCAGTAATAGACAATCGTGTTTGTGAGAGATGGCATCGATCCAACGGAATCAATGTTGTATGTTGTGGATTTATTTTGATGTATTTTAAGGCAAGAGATTAATTTTTTTTTATTTTTCGTGATTTTAGGTGATCTATCCAGAGGTAAATGATAAGACTTTAATTTGAAAAATATTTCTAGATTCTGTAATGAATTTTAAATTTTATTATTTGATACAGATGTTGTGTGCTGGACACAGAAACGGTAATTTTGAGATTCTTTTAATTATTTGTTGATCTTTGCTGATATTTTTGTATTTTATTCTTAAACTCCAGGTCGAAAGGATTCATGTCAAGGTAAAAACATTCAATTCCTGTCAATCTTGAAAGAATCTAATATAAATCTTCTTATTTTTAGGCGATAGCGGGTCAGTTTCATAATTTTCATCAATAGTGACTTTTCTAGACATTCAGAGCCATTCATCATATCCAAATTTTCTTCTCATTCCTTTTTAAAAATTAACATTTTTCTTCTCTTCTTTTTGGAAATTTTCATTGTAAATTATGAAACCACAGAGGACCACTGATGCACGAAAAGAGCGGAAGATGGTATCTAATAGGTAAGAAAATGATGAAAAGCTAGTCATTAATAACTTCTTGAGAATGTAAAGCTATAAATACATTAAAAATGGATGGTTCCTGTTGAAAAGTGGAAGTAAGGGAGTTGATCGCGAATAAAAGTCTTAGCAAAGGTTAAGAGCAAAAATATTCAAAAATCACAAAACTATAGACGCTTTTCACCACCTCCCAGAGTATTAGACGTCATTTATGAATAGGGGAGTAACAAGCGCTTTTGTTCCTTAAACCAAGTCAGCCTCCTTTGAATCTTATTTTTAGTCTTTTTTGTAGCAACCTGATTTTTGCTACGGCCTTGCTTTTGAATCCCTAAATAGCAACCTTCTAGCAAAAAGCATGATAAAATAACAAAGTTGTTTCTGTCGCACAATTTTGTTTTTATGGGAGCAACTGAATGTGGGAGTTGAAGGATGAATGAAAATTAAGGAATCTTGTATCCGAAAGAGAAGCTTGTAGGATGAATAGATCTATCAAGTTTCATAGATTTTCAATTCAAGCAAAATTTACTTAAGGAAGTGCCCACGAGTATTGAGATGTTTGCTTCTGGACGCTATCCTTGAAATAATATTGACTATAAAAATGATAATTTTAGAAAATTATACTTAAACCTTAGCTTAAAAAATTCGACGATTTGTAGCGTGGTTTTAACAATTTAAATCGATTATCACTAGTTCGGCTCGGATTCAAGCTAATACTTACTTGCTTGCTTACGTCCTTGTTGGGGTGCACGTGGGCCTATTGCCGCGCTTAGAGATCGTCTCAATACAGGCCTATCCTTAGAAACCTTCTACCAGTTCGGAATAGTGAGGCCTTAGCGTCCTTTTCAACACATCCAATCTACTAGTTCTTCGGTCTTCCTCGAGATCTCTTGCCATCCATAAAGTCTGCTACTGTCACTTTACACTGTGGCATCTCGTGAATGTCTGAACACATGTCCAGCCCATCTAATAGTCAATCTAATAGCTGTTCTGAACTTATTTTCAAGTTCTCAGTTCCATTTCTAAAGCTATCCGTTGCAGCTTACTTAAGAATTGAAAATTGATATACCAAACTTTGGGGCAACACAAAATTTAACAGCTTCTAGAGTAGGGCACTACAAATATCCCTAGAAGCCATTCCCTGACCACCCCAAGCTTATCAATCTAATTTACACCCACCCAAAAGATGCTCATTCATTCATTAAATTTCCTGCTTCTATTAATACCCACAAAAATCACAACGACAGCACAAAAATAAATCCCCAAGATTGACATATTGCCATCATGTCACCAAAACAATCATGACAATGATAATGTGAAATAAGGAGAAAAGAAAGCAAAACGTCAACTAATAAAAATTTATTATCGTATAATTTAAGGTATCGTGTCAGCTGGATACTCGTGTGCATCGAAAGGTCAACCGGGTATTTATCATCGAGTGCCGCATACTGTTGACTGGATATCACACATCATAAAATCAGCAACATAATAAATAGCCAGCAATCTTTCCGCCTTCATCTTCCTATCAACTTTCGATTTTTTTTTTACTTCTTATTTCCAGTAGAAAATGCCTGACACAATTGAGAGTTGCTGATGGCTGCGTTAATTATTTTTCATTTTTTTATTACCTTAACTTTTTTTTTATTATTTTATTTTTTTGTTGTTGTTAATATAAATTTCAACACTTCTTTATGAACATACAAAGACGTTGTATAAGCTCCAAGCAAACTTTTGTAGAGATGGACTTATCTTAATACCTTATTTAATATTTATTAATTATTTTCTTTTTGTTTAATGAAAGTTTTCCAAAATGACAAAAAAACAAAGACAAAAAAAGAATTAGTTGAATAGATTATTCCCAAATGAAGACGATAACTACCTGAATTTTGTAAATTAAAAAGTTTTTAAGCCATAAAGATGGTTGCAAAAATGAGACAAAGTTTTTCCTTTTATGCTGTAAAATTTTTGAAAAGGGTTTTTTGGGACATTAAAAAGTTATATGAAGCTACAGTAATTTGGCGATGTTTATAGATAGTTTGATGATGAAGATATTATCTTGATTAAGTTTCTTGTTGGAAAACATTTAATGGATGTAATAGAATAGATTGTGATATTTCTAAAGAAAATGTATTTTAAGGACTCTACACTTTTTGGCACTAATTTACAGCTGGCACTAAAACGCAGCATTTAATAAAAATGCAGCTCATACAAAAATATACAGCTGTATGTTGCATTGAATTAAAAAAACAGCTGTAATTTACAGATGAAGTATAAAAGTAAAATTTGCAGCTGTAAATTACAGCTGTATTTTCAATGCAACATATAATTTAAAGATGAAGTGTAAAAATAAAATTTACAGCTGTAAATTATAGCTGTATTTTCAGTGCGACATACAGCTGTATATTTTTGTATGAGATGTCTTCTTATTAAATGTTGCGCTACATACATATGTTGCGTGTTTTAGTGCCAGCTGTAATTAGTGCTAACAAGTATAGAGTATTTTGAGGTTAAGTTTCGGAAGCTTTTTCATACTTTTTCTAGAGTAAGAGTCCAGTGTTGTCCAAACTTTTTTGTGCCACGGCACACCTTGGTATTAGTCCACGACTAAGACCGCACACAGTTTGGACAACACTGAGTAAGACTAAGATTAAGAAAACATCAACGACTCTCCTATTAATATAGCAATGTTCTGACAACAATGTTGTGCCTTTTGTGCATCTTATACTCCTTCTCACAGCTATTTGAATTCCATATCAATTCTAAATGATTGTCATCACCTTCTTTGTGCTCACAGAGCCTGAAAGATTAGAACCACATGATACTTATAGTCTGAAAAACCTCACCAATTTAATTTTTTTGCAGCATAGAAAGGCAAACAAAGCCAAAACCCGACAATAAAGACGAACATAAACCTTAATCAAGTCATAAAATCTCATGAGAAAGAGTCTCGAAGAATGAGGAAAGAAAATTAAACAAAATTTCCATAAATGAAAAAGAATAAATTTAAATAAAATCGTCATAATTCAAGAAATATAAAAAAAAATCACTTTTACATGATGTGAATGAATTATGAATTGATAATGACATATCGCTTATTGTATTGTGGATTTTCTTTTTGTGTCTCAACATGATACATTGCCTCATAAATATCTGTTTAAAAATTCACAAACGATTAGAAGACAAGAAGCAAAGAAAGAAACACAAAATGATGATTAAGATTAAATGGATGTGTCAAAAAAAAAGAACTGAAAAAAGTAAAAGAAATTTACATAAATTTAAAAAAATAATTTTGTTGCTTCTTTACATCCAAATTGTGCACATTGTAATTGAAAAAGAAACTTTTTGATTGTGATTTTTTTTGGAATTGAAAATTTTGATTTTGAAAGCGTGAAGTTTGATTTTTGGTCACAAAAAAGAAGTTATTTGCTATGATTCTGAACTTTATGAATGTTGTTTAAGGATTATCCATCTGGTTCAAGTGATTGACTTAAATATTCCTAATTGTAGGCTGACCATCTGCTTTGGTTATCAGAAAAAGTCACAAGCTAGATTCTGTAGTGTTAAATTTTTAAGTAATAATTTAATTCTGACTAGTTTTGACTTTTAAGCTCCCCAAATGACACAAGTCGGTTAATCGATCATAAATCCGGCAGAAAGCTCGATGTGACTCTAACATGGTACTGGCTGGTACTGGATTTTAATAGAAGCCAGCACAATGCTAGAGTCATGATGGCTTGGCACCGTATTCCTATTCGATTAACCGACTTGTGCTATTCGGGCTCCATTAAAAATAAAACTAAGGCAATTCAGCAAAATTGTATACCTTAGATCCACCATAGCTAATGCCATTAATATCTATAAAACCTGATATAAACTATCAAATTTTATTATAAGGTTTTAATATTCACAGAATGTATTTTATAAAATATTAATGTCGTTTCAATTTGCTCATAAATTTAGAAATAAAGTCCATATGAGGTCAGGTAGAATCGGGTTCTTCAAAGACTCAGACTAATTTCAGCGGTAAGCTTCTTAAAAAGTAAGAGATTGACATACAAATCTAATATTTTTATGGATTCATAAATAATTTGTTGAAGTTTTATTAGATATTATGAGGAGCTTTAGTCTCTGTTGACCAGTGGTACTTAATCCATGCTCTGTGACACATATAAGTACTGGAATAGAATTTTGAAAACAGAGCCAAGGATGTAGAACTTATCAAAATGATCGAAATTCGATTTAATAGTTAAACTTGAGCAGAGCTAGAAGTTGACTTGAATTTTATCGATTGAAAAGTCAAGACGTACACACTTAGAAAACTTCCCAAACTTCCGGAAGTCTTATACATTTTTGGGAAACTTCCGCAAGTTTAATTGGGAAAAGTCAACGCAAGTTTGGTTTTTACAGATTAATTGGAGACTGATGGGTCAACCGTAGTCTCAAAGATACATTTTTTGAGATTTTGTTTTTTGGAGCATTCCAAAAATCCAAAAAGAGATGATCTTAGCAATTTTCTGTTCTTATCATTAACAAAAAGTTTCAATTCAATTATGAAAAATCTATAAAATCAAAAATCTTGACTTTAGTTGTAAGATTTTTAATGAAAAAATCAATTAATGTTACCTAAATTATTAACCAAAATTTACAAAAGCATTTCCTAATAGACGAAATATTGTGTTCAATATTAAAATCCTTGAATATTCTAATCGAGACTTACTTAGGGTGACCATCTGCGTAGTTTTACAACGGACAGTCCTGTATTTCAAAACCCTGTCCTGTATAAATTTGAAAACTTTGTTCTAGGTCCTGTATTTTTTTCACGAAATTTTCCGTTAATTTTCAAATTTTACTCTATGTCCTGTATTTTTCGAAAAAATTTACCAAAAGTCCTGTATTTTCATGAAAATTAGATGGTAACCCTAGACTTACTTGATTCTAGTTTTCTAGCAGGAATTACCGATAATGACAAATAAATTATCAGAATTAAGAATTATTAAGCATTGAAAATGAGAATTGAATTCCAAAATTCAGATTGCTGGATAACAACTCAAAAGTAGCTTTATAAAGTAAATACTAAGATTCTACACCAATATAGATTCCATATAGCTGCATTTGAGTAATTATTTATAATTTTTAAACATCTGATCAAAATAATTAGATAGAAATAATATCAATGCATGGACCATCTTCCATCTGAATGTACAGAAAGTATAACCACAGATGTAAGAACGTCCATGACTTGAATTTTAAGAAAAATATTAGGAGATTTGTGATAAAAATGTTACTTACTGAGTAAAAACAAAAAATAAGAAAAAAATATATTAATTGTGAGCTTTTTAAAAAAGTTGACAGAATTTTCTTCCTGGAAGTCAAATGAGTACTTTAATTGGTTGCTAGCTACAATAAGCTTTTGACTAATCAATGGAGTCATTTACTTGCAATGGTCTTTTTGTATAAAATACGTTTCTTAACTTTTTATTGTTTAATTTTATGAAATCAAGATATGAAAAAAAAAAAACATAATAAAAGTTCAATTTTAGATTGTTTACTGAAAGTTTGGTTTTAGTTTATTTGTTTTTTGGAGTCTGGTAAGGTTGCTGTCTAAGATTCTTATACAAGTTAAGCTTTATCTAGCCTAAAGCAATCCAGAAACTCAAAACAAGGTAAGAATCTCATATAAATTAAGCATCAGCTGTTAAATGACACAATTTACACAAAAACGGAAAGCTTTCATCCCATTTAAGTGCTTTCATTAAGGGGCCATTCACTTTTGACATCCAGGGAGGGGGGGGGGGGGGGGGGTGGTCAGTAAAAAGAACATTAGAAATTCCTGGAAATCCATTGTTCTTTTTTAAAAAATGACCTTTAATTGTGGAGTCAAAAGTGAATGGTCCCTAACCTACCTTCCCAAAAAAGAACTCACTTTCGTTGCCTCCTTACCTTCGATAATCGTAAACAATTACAATAAAAATCTTTTTCATTTTGATCAGCCCATAAAAAAATTTATATAATGGCTCATAATCGCATGCTGGTGCAATAATTCCATTAAATCTTCTTTCTACTTTTTTTAACTCAATTACCTTATTTTCTTTCGTAAGATATCTCGCATCGATTGTACCTACTTATCTAGTTTAGATACTTATGTGTTTATATGCTGTTTTCTCACGAAAACTTTTTCTTCCAACGAGTAGGAAATTTTTTAAGGACATAAGGCGCATTTGTTGAATTACAAAAATTTAAAAAAATGTTAAAGATTTTCAGAACTTAGTTTTAGATTCTTATAAATTTCACTTTTAACCTCCCTAATTAGCTAAGCCACAACATTATTAATCCATCCATTAACTCAATTCAAACAACAAGAAAATAAAGAAATTTTCAAAACAATCGTCTCTAATCGATAATTAGTCAAATTATCCAATAATTTTCATATTCACTTGAAGCTACAACAACAAAAAATCCATTCAATTTTAAATCCAATAATCACAATGAATTTTAAATTCATAATAATCCATTCAACATGTCGATTCATGTGAAGATATTTTTTTTTTCGGATAAAAACAGCTAATACAGCACTCATCATTATCACTTAAACATCGCCATTAGCAAACGAAGCAGCAAAAAAAATATGAAATTATTCCATAAGTGTGACGACAAGTATTGCACATGGAAGCATACAAAAAACAACGCTGTGCTGATTTGAATATTTAATTTAGTGGTAAGATCGTGCCTTGGTATCAGACGAATAATTACTGTAAAAAATAATCAGCGAGAACTTTTTTCAGATTTTGTATAGAGAATAAAGCTAAGCATGACGATGGAACGTCGTGAAATGAATTATTCTTTTTTTTGCAGTATCAGAACTTCTGTGATTCTGGGAACTAATTTTAAAGCGATTTTGTTTTGCATAATTTTCTGTAAAAATGCATTCAGCATGAAGATTAGAGAATGAAATAATGGGTTTGTTAATAAATGATGTCTTTCGAAATATCGAATTTTAAGCACCTCGACTCATCTCTGTCACAACTAATGTATCGGATAGAAACCCAATGCGGATATATTCACACCGTACCATCAAAAGTCTTATGGATAGACCAAGATTTGCTCAGCATAAGTTTGAAGGGTGGGCATGAAGTACGGCCGAGACCCATATCGACACAGTTCAAAAATTATACCTAATTTATGTTATAATTATGTCAGCTACAAAAACACTTAATTTATTTGAACCACATTTTCTCGTAAATGTTAAAATATTATTAAAAAGTATTTAATCCTGAATTATGTCGCTATTGACCACTTGACAAGTGTTTTAAGATAAAGAATTTGTTTTTTGGTTTCCACAGTGAAGAGTATGAACAAAATTCAGATGGGGTAGTCGAAATTTTAGATTTCGATTTTTTTAAGCTATGCATTACAAAAAGTAATATTGGTATGTGATTTATGTCAGAATTACGTCAATTCAAAAAAATTTTAAGGATGTTTTATTTGTATTTGTTTTAAGCACTAGAATATTTATGCAAAGTTTCAATTCATTTGGATAAACCCTCGAAGAAAAAAGTGACAAAATTGATTTTGACTCTTTGGGTCGCCCCTAGTCCAAAATTGAAAATGTATTTCCTACTTGCTTCTTTGCTCAAAAAAATTTTAAGGATGTTTTATTTGTATTTGTTTTAAGCACTAGAATATTTATGCAAAGTTTCAATCCATTTGGATAAACCCTCAAAGAAAAAAGTGACAAAATTGATTTTGACTAGGGTCGCCCCTAGTCCAAAATTGAAAATGTATTTCCTACTTGCTTCTTTGCTCAAAAAATTTTTAAGGATGTTTTATTTGTATTTGTTTTAAGCACTAGAATATTTATGCAAAGTTTCAATTCATTTGGATAAACCCTCGAAGAAAAAAGTGACAAAATTGATTTTGACTAGGGTCGCCCCTAGTCCAAAATTGAAAATGTATTTCCTACTTGCTTCTTTGCTCAAAAAAATTTTAAGGATGTTTTATTTGTATTTGTTTTAAGCACTAGAATATTTATGCAAAGTTTCAATTCATTTGGATAAACCCTCGAAGAAAAAAGTGACAAAATTGATTTTGACTCTTTGGGTCGCCCCTAGTCCAAAATTGAAAATGTATTTCCTACTTGCTTCTTTGCTCAAAAAAATTTTAAGGATGTTTTATTTGTATTTGTTTTAAGCACTAGAATATTTATGCAAAGTTTAATTTAAAAAAAAATCGCAGTGAACTTTTAATTTGAAAAATTTGTAAGAAAGGAAAGTTTTTTGCTTTTTCTGAAGCAACGGCTGTTCCTACCTTGCCCAAGAACTATACAGCTCTTCTATAGAGCAGCACGGATCAAATGTAAAAAACTAGAAGTCTCTTCAATGTCTTGTTATTGAGATTTCTTGCTGATTAACTTGCTTGTTTGCTTGCTTACAGAAAGCATATTTGGCGATTTTCTCAGCAATGCCGCAACCAATTTGAAATCTGTTTTTTTGCAAAAGATGTGAAATTCAAGGCACAAACTTTAAATCTTTGAACATTTTAAGCTATCTTGCTCCATATCCTCACAAAATTCAAAAAACTGATTTTTCAATCTGAACAAAACCAATAGATTCACACGTGAAAACGGTGTGAATATAAAAATCAACTTAAGAACAATAGTTGCATTACCACTAGTCCCATTCCCAAGAGTTAAATATTAGTGATCCTAAATTTGAACAGAATGTTTTTCGAAAATAATACTTACTCAAATCGAAGAGGGGGGGGGGGGGGGGGGGGGAGGGTAGATTAAAAACTAAGGGTGCAAAACTGAGAAATTACATTTTATTCATTTTGGATAATTTTTGATCATTTCATCAGTACAACATTCTTGTAAAAAACCAAAAATAACCATTAGTAAACGACCACCAAGATTGTAGCAAAGAATGATTTTCTCAAATACTGCATAGAAATGTTAAGTTGTTAAATTAAGGATGAATTGGTGCTGGAAGCAATAATCTGCATATTAGTGATATTAGAAAATTGCACTAATTTTCTTGTCAAATGAAGATTGCTTCGACCACCTGTGCGAGGAACTCACATTTTGTTCTGATTTTGAGAGTATGAGCTGAACGGAACTAATTTCAATTTTTATATTATCATTTTCTAATTTAAGAGCTTTTTGTCTTATCTTGAACTGAAACTTACTTATCTGCAGATACAAACTTCAATCTACCTCAATATTGCCATCAAATGTAATATTGTCTAACCTACTTCATGTCTATCTTAAGAATTAAACGACTCTATTACATCCAGACACATCTAATAATCCAATTAAGACAAATCATAAAGCAATGACACATAATAAAGACATCTTAGTGACAGAATCACAAGAAATCTCTTAATCACATCCAATTAATTCCTAATCATATTTTATACACCTTGAGCGTCCATCATTAGCATTATCTTCACATAACAACAATCATCATCATCATAATAATCATAAAGCTAATTTAAAATGCACAATAATTATTCAATCAAAGCATTTAGAAATTCTGAATTACTATTCATAGCATATAAATTCGTTAGAAAAGATCTTCATCGTTGATTTTGATTGATACCTTTCAATTCGTCACGTCAAGTTCCATATCAAGAAACAAAAGAAATTCTCAGACATTGGAAGAGTAAAAAGTGTCATTAAGCGTAGATGATTCACTCAATTCGTAGAAAAATAAAACTATTTTTTTTTTTTGATGAATATTAGCATTAAGTAAGTATATGTATAGCGCATGCTAATGATGATGATTAACAGTTATAATTCTCTCTTTCTCAAGCCTGCTCTTCTCCTTTTTGATTTGTTATCTCTCGTCGTTGTTTATTTCATTTGCTACTTCTTCAAGAACGGGTAGCTAGACAAACTTGTGTACCGTTCCTTATATGCGCTGCTACTCATCTGCTGGTTACCATTTGTGATCTAGCACACATCTGCTTTACATCTTGTTTTCTCTCCGTGTCTTGTATGAAAGCATTCAACAAAGCATGGCACACTCCATTAAAAATGTGGTATGATGAGCAGGTTTGGGTGGGTTTTGGGACGCAGTTGGTGATTATTCGGGTGGTTTTGAAAGAAGCTAATAAAATAAAAATATTGAAGCAAGAGCGTCAGCAACAACTTTGAAAATTAATAGGATTTGAACTTATGCATCTTAATATAGATATTCTTATAATATAGGGGGGGGGAGTTATTGTATGGAAAAATTTAAGGGGGGGGGGGGGGGGGGGGGGGGTATTTTTGTGATTTTTTTATAAAAACCCTAGCAAAATAAATAAATTTCTATTTACGTGATTTCTCCCCCAAATCCCCCCCCCCCCCCCGCGTTTAATTTATCTTTTGCCAAAGATTAATATTTACAGTTTGTAATTTGAATTATTATATAAAGATCTATTTCAGACAATTAAGGTTAAGGATGAGGAATTATAACTCCACGTAATGAGCTAATTTATTTAATTTACTAAGGTTTTGAGAAATAGTCAGGATCCACTTCAATGCTGACATTTTGTTCTTAATTATTTTAGGTACCAAATTCCATAAAATATTCCCAAACTGCAAGTCAAACTGATCATCATCACCTAACGTCAAAAAATTCCGCTACAAAAACACAAGAAAGATTCAGCGAAAAAAAATGAAAATGTTCTTCATTTCAGTATCGTTTTGTTAGTCAACTTGTTCGGTTGTGAAGTTTCTTGAATCCAACAAGCAAATAATTTTTTGTTTAGTTTGGAAAGCGCACAGCTTAGCTTTCAATTCATATCTATTTTTTTTTTATTTATTTTCATTTCTCTACAAAAAAAAAATCATACGCGCATTACTTACGCTACTTCACATTATTATCATCATCATCATTCATTATTCAATTTTAACGATATTTTTACTTAGAAAAGAAAAGGAGAAATAGAGAAGTGGATCAGTCGGTGCTTGTTTTTCCATCCAAGACTGTGTGCTTCATAAAAAAAAATTTATCAGATTATGAAGAATAAAATGGAAAGGCGACAAATGACTATTTAAGCGTATTCAGTGACTTCGATCTAAAGGAAAGAAGCGACAACAAAAAAAGTCACAAAAAAATATTAATTTGGAATTAAAGAAGAGAAATGCTCTGTGGTGTATTGGATTCACAAGAAAGATGCTTTTATGGCATTTCTATAGTCTTTTTATTATTTTTTGTCTCCACAAATTCACATATTCACGTAAATATCTCCTCATTTAATTCCCAATCAATGAATTAAAATTCTTTCTATTGTCTTCGACTTAATCCTCGTCTTATAGAGTCGGCAATAGAGTGCCCACAACGACAATGTAGGTTAGCATTTATGTGCTGGCTTGAAGGAGGTAATGCGGTTCAAGGATGTGGATATAATTCATGGTTATATTCATGTTGTATGAAAGGAAGTGCCCAACAGCAGTCGTCAACGAAAATTTCACAATTATCAAAACGCAAGCGACAGAATGACGAAAGAAATGTACAGAAAAAATTATCAAAGCGACGTTATGATACGTCTGAAGCACACTTAGTGACACAACCAAATTGTGGGATTCCAAGAACGCCGAGTAATACACTTCAGAAGAGAATTATTGGAGGGCGTCCGGCGTATTTTGCAGGTGAGAAAATGTGATTGTAAATTAAGTGATTTATTTTTGTGTTGCGTGACATTTGGAAGTGATGAGAATTTTTTAAATAGTTAATGTTTTGCTTTGTTGAGTGTTATACGATGTACTAAGCTCATTCTCCTCGTATCGTTTGCTCGTTAAAAGCAGTTCAATAGCAATCTTATGGTTTTTTAATTAAGAAAACTAATTGATTCCTAAATTCTGCACTAGAATTGATTATTCTGTGGAAATTTTAGAATTTTCTTAGAGTCCAAAGAAAAGCATTTCGATAGCTTTTATGTCAAAAAGTCAGTTTACTATTAATTGTATGAAGTTGACTCGATATTTCGATACAAAATATGTTGAAGCTGTTAAGCAGATTAGTCAATCTTAATACTTATTAGTAATACTGCATTGTTGAAAATATATCAACTGTCGTTTAATATTCAAATTGTATTTGCAACTATATTGAGTTGTTTTCTCCGTTTATAGTTGTTAGCCCCTCCATAGATGGGGCATCAACTTATTAAAAATAAAGCATTGTGATTGTCGAATCAAGAAGCATTGTTATCATTATGCCAACAAAATCCGAGATGACTTTGGGGCCTTTCACTTATTACGTTCGTATTTTAGGGGGGAGGGGGGTTTGAAAAATTGGAACCAAATGTAACATAGGAGGGGAAAGGGGGGGTTGATTGAATTTTCCAAAATTCGATCGGGCATAATATTTTTCATGACATTTTTGAATTTTCTTCAAAAAAAAAATTGTTGCTTTATATCTCAATCCAAAAATTTATGAGAATACTAATAGTATCAATTAAAACATGACCTATTTAGCTGTACAGTATTTTGATGTTTAAGAAAAAAAATACAAAAGAAATGTAACCGTCCTTTTAGAATAAAAAATTATCAAAATAAAATAAATTATGAACGTTCAGGGGGGGGGGGGGGGTGTGAGTTGTAACATATTATAAAAAGGGGGGAGGAGGGTAGAAAACGTCGTTTTTTTGCGTAACGTTATAAGTGAACGGCCTCTTTAAGCTCTGCTAAAGAGTTTAAAAAACCTTATCACAGTTGTAGACACTTTTGTGTTCACTTTTCAGTATGTTAAGTGCATTTTTGAAACTTGAATTGACAAATGAACAACTAGACTACTTAATTTCTAGTAATAAAGATGTACTATGACACACAATTGCGACTAGTCTTCAAACAAATAACTATAAAAGCTAGTTTTTGAAATCATAAAGAATTTCAATCATTTGAATTCATTTTGGTACAAACTCAGCTTTATTTCCTTAAAGCTTCACTAACATATTTTCAGAACAAATGCATGTTTTCACATCATTGTCTATGCACTCATAAGCAAATGCATCAAATTTTCTCAAAAACCCCATAAAAATTCACATAAATTTGAATACTCAAAGCTCATATCTAGAACCAAGAAGCAAAATATGCACTAAAAATTCATCAAATCCATTTTCATAGCTTCAGAACATTCAGAAAATGAAAAATAACATCCCATAAGAACATTTTGCATTGCATTAAATTTCAATCATCATAAATTCTTCTTCTCATTCCATTAACATACAGAATTTCCATGGCAGACGCATATCAGAATTAAAGGTAAGTGTATCCATAAAATGTGACACATGATATTGCCAAAACTCATTTCAATTTCGATAATTAATTAAATTTAATAGAATTTCAGTGCGGTGGAGCTCTCGTCTCAAGACGATTTATCGTAACCGCAGGACATTGTATTTCGAGAGCAAAGTTACGAGACATTGTCGTATATCTTGGTGAGCTTGATACTCAAGATTCAGGCTTTGTCTTTGAACCACTGCCAGCAGAGAAGCACACGGTTATACAAAAGTTCATTCACCCAAAGTTCAGATTTCGTCTTACTCAGCCTGATAGATTTGATGTTGCTGTCATGAAGTTAAAGAAGGCTGCGGGGTACAAGTAAGTAACGAGAAAATGTTGATTTTTGTGAGTAATAAGAAAAGCAAGCAGATGATTCATTGCGGTGTGTTGACAGAATTTCTTGGGTAGATGATTTTGAAGACTGTAGACTTTAATTTGAGAGAAAGCTCATGTTTTGATGGTTTTTGAAAGTTTAGAGGTTCAAAGATGGAACGCAACAGAATTGTAGACAGTGGATGACTGTCAATTATCAGTGCTATGAGAAATTAGGTTCCACTGGAGCTTAGTGCACGCAAAAAGGAATTTTGATATCAACTGTGATACCAATTAAATTCGAGTAGCTTTAAAGAACGTCTGAGCCTTGCAGGCTTGACTATACATTAGCACCAGATATTGGCTTACACCAAGATCTGCCTTTCGAGTATTTTGTATACAGTTAAGCAGTTCTAATCATTCAATGCTCTCACCTTTACACTTAAACTACATAAAGCTAATCCAAATCCAACATAATTACTTTTTAGAACCCACATCCTTCCAATCTGCCTACCAACCGTACCATTTGACATTACCGGCAAGTGGGGAAACATCAGCGGATGGGGAAAGATATCACAAGAACATGGACATACAGGCACCAATATTTTAAGAACCGCTGCAGTTCCAATAATATGTAAGTATATCATCTCATGTGATTTAATGATTATTGTATTATATTCTTAAAGTACCGTATGCAACTTAATTCCATTTTATATCTCTTCTGTTGTTTTTTTTTCGTTCACATGCCTGTTCTACAGCAAAAAGTGAATGCATCAAATGGCATCAAAAGAAGAATATTGTTGTTGAATTATTTGATGAACAATTCTGTGCTGGTTACAAGAATAAGACGATTGATGCGTGTCTTGGGGATAGGTAGGTTAATAGACATAGAAATGAGGTAGAATTGAAATAATTAAGAAGAAAAAAAAAATTATGAATGAAATGAGAGTATAATGGATCTTTGAAAATACATCCAATAGCTTCTCGTGTCTCGAAAGAATTTGCTTCTGCATGGGAGTATGGAAGTTGAAATTCTACTTTTCATTTTTAATTGGAACTCTTTTTTAACGGAATTTCTTTACTTTTAATTGTATGTCGGTTGAGTCATGTTGAACAGTTTGAAAGATTGTCTTTAAATAATTCTAAGGAAATCAAAGAGTTACTTAACTGGATGAATAATTAAAATGCTGACATAATGAGATTCTGCTTCTGATTCTTCAAACCTTTGTTCAACATAAATTACCGGAATTTGCAGATTCTAGAATTTTAAAATTTAATTGGCACTAAAATTGTTTTTAAAGGAAGTATTTACCTGCCTTTCCGGCTTACTCAAAAACAGTTTGGAATAAACGAGTTAATATGCTGAATATAGATTGCAATGTGACCTCATATAAGCTGTACTGCAGTTAGCATGAACTGTTAAGATGCATTTTTGTAAAGAACAAGATTTTCTGTGTTGTTGACTATTGTGCTATTTATTTTATTTCTTACAATTACGGATTTGTTAAGCTGACTGTATGCACAAATGTTGAAGATTATCAATTCTAATTCTGGTCAATGTGAGCTAGATTGGTGTCAATAAACAACTAGTCTCCTCCCCACCATTTTTTTATGAGGCTGAAAATTTTTCTGTCAATTTAATCAAAAATTTCTGACCAATCAAATAGGCTGTCAAACTACGCACTTTTGAGCGGGACATTTTGAACAAAGTCCAGCATAAAATCCTTAAGGTCTCGCATTTTTGAACCTTTTTTTCTTAGAAAATGCTTCAAAATTTGCTCAGTCCCGCTTTTTCATTGCTGAAATTGAGACATTTCGCGATTATTCCAAAAATCGATGTAATTCTTATCTGAATTTCAAAACTATTCAGACTGAATTAAGTGCCGGTTATTATAGCTACTCGGGACAACCTACTCTAGAATTGAAAATTAAATTGTAAGTTAGGACGAAAGCTTAAGTGTGATACTTAGTTTTTAAATATAGACATAATTCTCAGCTATTATCTATTTCTATAGTGATGATAAACTCTTAATCTGATACAATTTATTGTCATGTTAGCAATAGAATATAATTTAAACCCTAATAAGTTAAAAAGCATGACAATTGGCACTGAAAAGTTATCATTGAACATGATAGGACGTTAAAACTCTTTATCTGTAAGATATGAAGAATCTGATCCATTCTGTTCCTAAATTACTAACGCTAGATTCAAAACTTTTCACTTATTTCAGTGGAGGTCCTTTAACAATTGTTCAGAACGGACGATACTATTTACTAGGAATAACAAGGTACATTCATATCTCCATAAAGTATAATTCATTGCCATAATGTCATAAAATTTCTTTACAGCGCTGGCTTCGACTGTGCAAGACCTCTCCAACCTGGCATCTATCACAATGTACAAAAAACCTATAAATGGATACAAAACATAATTTATAAGAATAACAATTAACACGGTTCAATAATCAAATAAACTTTCATCACTTACTATTAAACCATAATTATGAGCATTTACTGATTTACGGATTGAATAGAATTAAGTGTTATTATGTTGGAAAAAGTTTCAATAATTGTTTTTATCTTGTGGTTGTAAAAATTTCATGAGCTTCGAGTAGAAAAACAAATAATAACTGTTCATTTTGATGCAATTCACATGTCATAATCTTTCACAATCGAGGACTTGCTGACAGATGTTATGAAGATAGTATAAGAATAGACTAATTTCTTGATTCAAAAGTCATTTAATTGTTGAAAGTCTATCAAGTATAAGTAGGAGATTCTACCGATAAAATATTAGTTCTGATAAGCAAGGAATAGACTTGTTGTAATTTAAGATTAATTCCTATATGAAATAATATGTGGGTTCGATTTTTATCAAAATCTTCTGATATTATTATACGAAAGATATTATTTTTTTGCTGATTTGACACGTTCATGGTTCACTCGGAGAAATTGTGATCTGATCTAAGGGGTCGTTCACTTATGACGTCTGAGATTTAGGGAAGAGGGGGTCTAGAATGTCGTGATAGCTCAAACAAAGGAAACTTTTTCGATATAAATTTTGTGACTGGGGTAAAGGGGGCGTATAAAAATCATGTTTCTGCCGGACATCATAAGTAAATGATCCCCAGCTTAGTTCGGTTGCTTGGTTTGTTTTGAGGACTGGACTATCAATTATCCGATCTAAGTTGAAGCCATGGAGCATTAAATCATCTGTTCATCATCTCGCAACAAAAAAGCAGAGTTCGATTTTGTATGGCAGAGGATTGAGGATTTTCTTGTGAAACAGGAGTACGTTGTGCAAACCTTTAGAATCACTTCACCAAATGAATCCTGATCAAAAGTTCATCAAATTTTTGGCACCAATATGCGTCTATATCAACCACAAAGCACCATCCACACATTTCCATAAAATCACTTCATCATAATCACATAATTGCCAATCTAAGTTTTCTTTATTTGCTAATTCTATGTGATTACTTTACATCTCTCAAACAGCAACTTAGACATACCAATTGCATAAAAAACAAATCTCACATTTCTCTTTGCAGTCCATTCAACATTATTCATCATATGTAGTAATTCACATGAGTTGTGTGTCGTATGGATGTAATTAAAATTAAGTTGTCATGTGAATTGGATTTACACTTAATACATTTACAGTCAAATGGCTACTAAGTCGACTCATCATGCAAATAGACGCTGAGCGGAGGAGAAAAAAAAATTATTAAGTTTCACTTTCTTTTCAAGTTTTCATTACCATTTTAAATGTATTTAAATTTCCCTCCACCACAGTCCATTGTTAACCCGTTCCTGCATATGTGTGACTGTTCATTTGAGCAATTTATTAAATAGCCATGTTTGATGTTTGACTTTGAAATAAATAATAAACTAGTATAGGTAGTGCATGAATGAAAAATAAATTATTATGAAATCACTTCAATTGCGATAATTGAAAAGAAAGAAATTTGTTGACTTTCATTTGCATTTATCTTCGTACTTACTTCCTCACAATGCTTTGCTTTGTTTATTTAAATTTTGTTGATATTTCAATTTTGATTATCAGAGCGCGAAAGTTTTCTTTTCTGACTTTCTTGCTTCTTCTCTCACTTCTCTTTGTCTTCTTATTTGAGATAATGCTTGATGAAGCATCAAATTTAACCTAAAAGTTTCTAAATCCCCTGAATGAGCATGCTTAGTAGCCGTGCCGTGCTTATCGTAGTGAGCTGATGATCACTCTTAATTGCTGATCAGTCAGTTTTTAAATAATTAGCCCTAATCCACAAAAATCTAGATCTGATATTGATAATTGTTTCATTCTTGTCAATAGCTGAATAAATTCAAATGATTAGTATTAGAACAGCATCAGAACACGAATTTCTATTTCCAGCAATAAATTTCAGCTTGCCTTATTTCATATCCAATGAGTATGTTAACTTTACAGCCTTAATGTTGCAAATATGTCCACATATATATCCTGTCATAGGACTTCTTCGAATTTTCTTAGGTTTTTCATTCTTATCCTAATCTACAGGAATCTACAGGAGTGGATATGGATAGCTTTACTGTCGTTCAAGTCACTTGATCCTTATTCAAGCCTTATCGTAACCTCCAAACAACCCAGCACATGATAAATAAAACCATTTCCTGCTTAATCAACTTCCTATTTTAAAGCAATAAACCAACAAAATTCACAATGCAGGAATCAATCATATGCTGTTAATGTTTACGACACATGTTACGTCCACGCTGAAATATGCATAAATATCTATCCAATCATCATTATGTATCTCTCAATCGAGTGTCAAGTTCAATATCAACTTTATGTTTTCATGTTCTCTCATTTTATCTCTCGCTATACAGCTTCAAACTTTCTTCACCTGCCACTCACAATTTTTTTTCCTATGATTTGAAGTAATTTACTTCCACTATTTACCTATCCCTGCCTCTGTGTTGCTGCACTGCTATTTTTCATGGCCTGATGCTGTTGCTAATTGAATCATTTCGGAAGTAAATTGTAAGAAAGAAATGGGTTTTTATTTTTTTCCGCATCAAAACTACAGCAGCTACAGACATCAACACAACATTTTCATTTCATTATATTTTATTAGCGGAGCTGTTGATGAGAAATGAGATTGATGTGTGCGGATTGTCTTGGCTGGGCGGTGTCTGAAAATTATTGGAAGGTCTTGTTAGCAGGGAGTCCATGAACAATAGCAATAACCATGGGGGGGGGGAGGATTTGGGGAACAGAATTTTCTTCATTTTGCTAGGAGTTTTATGAAAAAATTATAAAAATCCCCCTCTTCCCTTTGAATTTTTCATATAAAATTTTTTTTGTCACCCCCCCCCCCCCCCCCCCCCCCTCTTCAAATTCCTAGGTTTGGTACTGATGAAATGATCAAAAATGATCAAAAACGGATTACAAAATGATCAAAAATGATCAAAATGTAATTCTTCTGTTCCACACCCTTGATTCTTGGCTACGCCCCTGGTCGTGAGCATTGAACGAATCCTTGTCATATCAGCAATACTATAATTATTGAAAGATCGGTCTTTTGAGAGAATTGAACTCACCTCCTTACAAAAGAAAGTTTAAGATATCCAGTCTGTTGTCTGATCACTCACGCTACAGACGCCTAATTCTTGTACTGGTTCCCAGGTACAACTGTTTAACAAGAACTGCTAGAACTATTTGTCTAATCTTGCATTGCCTGGAGCTTTACTAGGAGACGGGATGGAGACCAACCTGCCAATCTAATCATTATTTGATGCACATTCCTAAAACTCAATAAAACAACAAAATAAAACTTGTTATGCAGCACCTAATTAATAAATTTATAAAACAGCATCCGCATCATAAATTATGATAATGTTCATGTTATGGCATTCACACTTAAAGATATTAATATTTCAAGCAATTCATAGCTAGCTATAAATGCATCATTATCTTTTTTTTTTTAATTCCACAAATAAGAATCAATAGTGTTGCATGCCTTTCTTTAGATGACGCTTTTATCAGACTTGCTTATTTGGGTAATTGACAAACGGGAGCCAGCGATAGAGCCAGCTTCATACTTCCATGGATCAAAAGTGATACAAGCCCTTTTTAGGTTCTATTGGTGATTCCATCTTTAAATATTCACAACACAAGATGCAATATTCTCTCAATCAACATCCTCCTTCAAATTTTTTGGTCAGATTATCACCACAATCAATGCGTCTCATCCACCTCCTCCTGCATCGATCATGCTTTCATTTAAAATATCCATAACAGTATAAGTGAGCACGAGACATTTTACCTTAACATAACTCTTTATTTCTTAACCATACCAAAGAAATTTTTTACTTTCGAATTGTCGTCTTGCAAACCGGGTGAATAAAGATAATAAAATATATATACACAGAGAGCAAGCGAGCGGGAGAGACGGGCAGGCAAAAATAAAAACTACACAAAAAAAAATTATACAAATATATAAGAAAAAGTTTTGCTTGTGAATCACATGATGATATTATTATTTTTTTTTTTTGGTCGAGTTTGAGTCTCAGTTGTGAACAAGAAGTTTAATAATCAACAAACTTTTGCTTCATTGACTCGACGGACGACGAGAGAAGCACAAAAATAAAATTAAGATCGAGTTAAATAAATAAATAAAAAAAAATTAAGACACAAAAATGACTTTGTTCAATTGTCAGTGAGGAATGTGAGTCGGAGATGTTGCAAAACTTAATAATTTTTGCAGAGCACATGAAACTGTGAGCATCGGCGCCATCAAGTGAAAGTGAAATTTTGTTCCTATGAGCTTAATAATTGATAAATTGCTCTTTTTACTATCATTATCGTCTATTCATCATCAAAAGTGGCAATAGAGACGAAATAATATAATTTGTGGCACATTTTTTTTTGCGCACAAGGCACAGCAGCTGAACATATAAAAAAAAAGTGAAAAGAAGAAAGAGACATGAGAAGAATGTTCCATAAAGCGATAACAATTATCGCATGCTGCCTTACATGCTATCTATGTGATAATAGTTTTAATGATAGATATAATCAATTAGTCAGTAGTGGTAGCGGGAGCTTAAAGAGAGTCATCGACAATGAATTGCCAAAAGAATCAAAATTTTTTGACATGAATGACTTTGATTGTAAGTATCATCGGACAATTGTGGATTTACTTTATGTTTTTAAAAATCTCTTTTTTGTGTGTCAATTGAGCATAAAGTTTGTGGAGCAAGAAATGGGAAATATGAAAATATACAATTTTTTTTGTGAAAGGAAAGGCAAGAAGAAAATTGAAATTAATTCCATTTGATTCAATTCAAGTCAGATGAAAGAGATTATGAAACGTCAGCTGATTACTAGAGCTTTTAAAAAGCTTGAACTTGAAATAATTGAAAAAGCTTTGAAGCTTCTTTGTAGTTTGAATTTACTTGAAACATTTTGCGACTTTAAGCTCATTTCTGCTTTTAATGTGACAGACTTTTAACTGCTCTGTTATTT